TCTAGCGCCCCCATTTTGTTTGATGGGGTCAATAATGGAGGGGTCCCCTCAGATTATGTGTGGTCATATGCCTACAAAGTTGCGTGGTGATCGGTGAAACCCTTGAGATGTTATACACCTTTATGTGATGAGCCACGCCCTCAGCAATATTCATTGCCTTATAGAAGCTCAGTTTTAGTAAGTTTTCCAACTTCTGCCAAGAGGGAACTTTAGATATTGGTCCCTAGATTATGTTCACCCAGTTTCATGCAGATCGGTCAAACTTCCTAGGAAGAGATCGATTTGAAGTGTTTTTCAAAAAATTCAAAATGGCGGAAAATCTATATAACCAGAAGTTATGGGTTCTTGAGGCAAATTTTTCCTCCTCTCCTCATGAGTTCCTCATGAGGAGAGGCATCTCTGTGCAAAGTTTCATGTCTCTACGACATACGGGGCATGAGATATGCCCATTCAAAGTTTGTAATTTCAGTCGGTTAGTATAGCGCCCCCCTTTGGCCAATTGATGTAATATTGCTTCATTTGCATCCTCCCATGACCCTCTACCACTGTGCCACATTTCACATGGACTGACCAAGTCAGTGAGGAGAAAAACGTGGAACAGAGTTTTCGTCATTATATAGTAAGATATAGTAACATACTTAACCTCAGGTTTTGATGAGGGAAGTGTGATGTTTTCGTACTGTGTCACCTTTGATGTGCTTTGCTGAAATTTTTTCAAATAGAAATTTTCAGATTTCAACTGTTAAATCATCCGGTCTTTGATAATATATACTCATTGTTGCAAATAATTAATGCGCTCTGAGATGGAAAGTGCACATTCACGCACCCAGCAGTATCTCCATGGGGCTTGTTAGTGTGCCAGACTGCAGCTCCGAAGGAATCAGAGAGCTCAGTGCACTGATGGACAATCAGGGGAAACTAAGCGACCGAGCAAACAAAGATAGAAAAAAATAGAGGTTAGTGAGCAGAGGAAGGATTTGGCTTGTCGATACACCGGTGCATTGTTTTCCTTCCTTTTTTTTTGGTAAATTCTGAATCATTGGTATTTTCGTAATGAATTTATAACAGATATCTCCTGCAAACAAACATGTGCTACTGCCAGTGGAGGTTGGCTCCTAGTGTTGTTGGAATTATGATAATGGAGTGAAAGAAATGAATAGGCCAAGTTGTGTATTTCTCAGAGGATGTTTATGTGCTTGTCTGTATGACGCTGTTATTTCCCCAGATCTGTATCCTGTCAGATTGGCACTTTGGAGGAATATCTGTTACTCTGCCATATTTTTTTGGAGAACATTAAACGTTATAATTAAATACAACAGTTCCTAGTTTTTAAAAAACTTCCTGTTATTGTGCTCTGCTGCAGGTTTACATAAGAATTTGGCCACGAGTGAAACCAGCGATGTGTTTAAGACATCAAAAATCAAAGCCGAGTACTTTTTTCCAGACAATTAAACATGATCTGTGACATTTGATGATTAAGCAGGACCTGGCAGGCTTTTAATAGAATTACTGTAAAATGTCTCACTTGCAAACTGTAAATGATCCAATTCTGCTCATGTTGTAATGTTTGGAAGTTTTGTAGCGAGTCCTTAAAAAGTAAAATCATCTCAACAATAAATGCCTGAACTGTGTGTACAAGTAGCGCATGTCCCAGGAAAGTCTTTGTACCTGCAGTCTGCACTCCAGGCCGACAAACTCCTAAATACCTACTTGGCATGTTGTTACAGTATAAAGTCAAGTTCTGCCTTTTCTGGTAGTTTTAGCATCCATGTATAAATATAGCATCCAGCAGAGAGTGCTTGTGAAACATGCCCAAACTGTGCAGTAAGTGCATTTTTGTCTCCTCGTTACAAGGTGTGCTTGAGCTCTGTAAGCACAGGTTGGCTCTGTCTGTCTCTCTGTCCCTCCATCAATCAATCAGTTTGTCTCTCAGTCGGAGGAGGAGAGGGAGGTCTTTATTTTTCCAGTCCGAGCAGTGTGAGTTTTTACAAGTGTGGAGAGTTTTTGAAAAGAATCCTGTTTTTGTTTTTGTCCTCAGATGGAGGTTGTGTTGGCTCTGGTTCGGCCCTAAAACACTGCAGGAGTGCTGTTACCGAATCATGTCACTTTTGATCATCTGTTATCGTAATGATTCATGTGTTGACTGGTTTGCACCACTTTAAAACGTCTGTTTTTTATTAGGAGCCAAAATGGATTTAAATAGAGAACAAAAATGTTGCATTTTCAAGGCAACATTATTAATTGATTTCCCATAACCTCTTATCCTGTTTCGGGTTGCAGGGGGGGCTGGAGCCCATCCCAGCTGACACTGGGTGAGAGGCAGGGTACACCCTGGACAGGTCACCAAACTATCACAGGGCTGACACATAAGCCCTTTTTAAACAGGAATTGTGCAAATTTGCAGAAAAGCCCAGTCAGTCTTTTTCAGCATTGGCAGTATAAAAACAAAATCGGGGAGTGCGGCAAAATGCTGCCTACCTACTTTTGTTTATACAGAATGTGCCTTTTTCAGGGCAATGGGGGGTGTGAGCAAGTAACAAAATGTGTAGCTCAGCGTGTGATGTAAACAGTGACGTACTCCGAGGGAAGTCGCGGCTGGTCAGCCCTTCGGCGATTCTCTCATAAGTCGGCCCGTCCTTCACCGTCCCCGTCATTTGACGGTTAATGGCCTCTTCATTTGTGAGGACAAGGAGGGCGCGCAATTCCTTGTCTCACCAGTTGCTCATCTTTACAGTGTCTGTCAGGTTTGCGTTTCCCTCTTGCTACTAGCTGCTATCAGCTGTTTCCTGTTTATCCACCGCCAGTGGGTGGCACGTGCGGCGTCATCAACAGCTCCTCCCACAACTCATCAACAACCCCTCCCGTTGCAGAAGTCCGCCTCGTTCTTTTTAAACCAAAAAGGTTCCGCCAATATGTCTACCCTACGAGGCGGAAAATTGGGCGCCTCGGATCAACTCGCCAGTCCGACTCTGTGTGTCTAAACGCTCGCAGCTTGCTGGCAAAACGGCCCAACATTCGCGGAAAATCTGGCAGTGTAAAAGGGGCTACAGAGACAGACAACCATTCACACTCACATTCACACCTACGGACAATTTACAGTCACCAATTAACCTGCATGTCTTTGGACTGTGGGAGGAAGCTGG